TGAGCATAGGCTATATATAGACTCCCTGGTTGCCGTGATCTCTGCCTCGCTCAGAGGTCTGCCCCACTCTGGCCGCGTAGTGCTCCACGCAGTGGCCGCTTACCAGTAATACTGTATGCGTCGTGTAGGCTTTCGTAATATATATACACCGCCAGTGCATAATTTTCGAGCCCATTAACAATATAGACATAAAGGCAAGTGTCAAGTAATTTATTTCTTGTTATACCACCGTATCGTAAAATATCGATATCCGGAAGTTGTATCGCGATATATCGAGTTTTCAAAATATATTGCAATATACCGATATACCGGTATATCGTTACACACCTATAAATTAGTACAGCTAATCTTAGATAATTTAAATTTCCTTTGGAAAAAATCGAAGTAAAATTTCCAATTGTAAAATCTGCAGCGTACTTAATAATAATAATATACTAGTACTACCTACATACTACTTCTAGTACTAGCAACTAATTATGATTAGTGGATTTAATCATGCTCCTGAGTAGAATTAAATATTGTGATTAACCTAATCATGATTAAATACTTAAGTACGATTCGTGAAACCGGCCCCTGGTACTAAAGGAGGGCTATTAGTATTATACACAGCTAAATTTTGGCTGCACCTAATGCACTAGCTGGTACATCATATTGGCCATGAAATAACAACATATTCACTACAGCCAGTTCTAGAGAAAATTCATGATTATTCCCATTTACTTGACACAATATGCAGTTCATAAGCATTAAAAACCATATAGGCAACACCCTAAACAAGACCCCTGTCTATTTTAAAGGGCATTACCACCACATATGCGAAGATGAATGCTTGGTCATCATACCTTGCTTGTCATGAGTCAACAAATGTAAACTGTATAATATTTACAACTTTTTTACTTGGAATAGCCCAAGTGAAGTGCATCAAAACAAAGGCTTTAGGCCCATTGATCAACTGCACATAAGCCTCGTCTACACGACGAACCTTAACTCGAGTTAAGCGTCTACACGGGGTCTTAACTCGAGTTAGCGTTAACTCGAGTTAGCTTAACCTCGCCAGTCGATCAAGGTTAAGCCAACTTGAGTTACCTTAAGGCTCCGTAAACGTATTAACTTGAGTTAAGGCCCCGTGTAGATGCTTAACTCGAGTTAGCGAATAGTATACGTGCACACACACGGACGCACGCACGCACGCACGTGTATGTGCACATGCACGCACGCACGCATGCACGTGCACACGCACGCACTCACGCATGCACGCACGTGACCTCTTCGAAGGGCGCGCGCGTCGCCGCGTACAGCGCCGCGCTCTCCGCGTACGCGCCGCGCTGGAACAGGCTCTCCGCCTCGCCCGTCAGCACGGCGTCGTAGTGCGCCGGGTCACCGCGGCTGCGCGCGCGCGCCGCCTCAAAGTCGCCCATGCGCAGGTAGACGCGCCAGGCGTCGCGGTCCTCGCGCACGACGCGGTACTTGAAGACGGCGTGCTCCGTGTACGCCCAGATGGCGCCGCGCAGCGGGTCCTGCGCGATGCCGACCAGCCGTCCAAACTTGTCGCCGAAGACGTCGTCGAGGACGAGCTGCTCGTTGAGCACGCTGATCGCCCGCAGCGCGTCGGCATACAGCACGAGCACGTGGAACTCCGTGACGGCGATCGCGAGCGGGTGCCCGACGCTCGACGCGGGATACGGCAGCAGCTTCGCGCCGACGGTCACCGAATCCGCGCCCGAGTGACCGCTGTAGTCCACCTGGCCATAGTAGACGCCCGGACCGGTCATCCAGGAAAAGGTTTTCGGTGGACCGGGGGTCTGTTGCGACGCGTCTTCTCTCGGTGCATAGAACATCAATTGGCTGTGGCCAAAATTACCTAAGAGGGGGGAATGCAAATGGTGTATTATCGATAAACTAATCCATAAAGGACTTATAGGCATTGCCGTTAGAACGAATAATAACACTTGCAGATCGACTTGCTTATTATTATTATTATTATTATTGTTGTTGTTGTTGTTGTTGTGGTTGTTGCTACTATTATCATCATCATTATTATTGGTATTATTATTACTTATTATTATCTATACGTTAATTAATAAGGGATTCCTAGAAGCTACAAAATCAATAACAACAGTTAAAAACTGCCTCACTAAAGTAATTATTTCTCAAATATATCCAACAATAGAAATCTCTAGTAATATATAGTCTTACCTATTAATTTGCAATAAAAATTGCTCAAGAATTTATGCCGTTATGAGCAATAAAAGGCCAATCCAACAAAAAACTTGCAGTATTCTTCATATTCGCCAAATTGAATTTGAACATGGCACCATAAATACAACTGCGTCTGATTATTGGTACTATCACGATATTACATTCGAGGTAATTTTTGTCTAGACAGTTTCACGATCCACTGCTTTGTGCTAGATAATACTAACGTGCCACTGTGCTTGTTTGTCTCTCACTCCACCAGCTACTCTCATCATTTCATACAGCATTGTTTACTGCGAAGTCACGCGTCAATAAATTAATCGGCCCAAAATTGCTGGTGAAATATTATCATCTTGTCGTGCATCATCGTTATTGAAATGATTTATCGGGTGTCAGTGTCGTCTGATACATTCAGAGAGCCTGTGAGTCATGTCACAACAACAGCAAGATCAAAACGAATTCTTATTTTCTAGTCCTTGATATTTCGGTAGAAATAACAACATACAAGTGTTCCAGAACAGTAGATTTACCACGAACAGTCGCTGTCATACAATGAATGCGGGTAAGTTTGGAAATATATGAGAAGTAATTACTTTAAGAGAGGGTGTGCTTTAATGAAGTTCTACTTATAGAATATATTCCTACCACTTGAATTGGATTTCATAAAAATTTTGCCAATTCAATGATGATGACAATAATATAAAGAAGAAGAAGAAGAAGAAGAAGAAGAAGAAGAAGAAGAAGAAGAAGAAGAAGATGATGATGATGATGATGATGAAGAAGATAATGACGATGATGATGACAACGACGACGCTGATAACGCTGATGATGATGACGACGATTAGGATAACGAACATGAATGTGACTATGTGAAACAGGTAAAAACAGAAGTAGCACATTACTGAACTGCCTTGAAAGGTTGCAAGAATGATCGAACTGCGCTACAACCTACATATACCAGGCGATGCACAGTACCTGGTAGTTCAAGAAATCGCTCCGGATTCATCTCATAGCAGCTGAAGATACCGAGGAGAACGGGTGCTTCCGAGGAGCTTGGCACAGTGCCAATAAACTGGTACAGTCGGCCAGGCGTCGTCACCAAGATGTAGTACTTGTGCTCAGTTAACGAGCTACTAGGCATCAGGTCAAACTCTAAGCCAGTGACAGCGACCGGTCGCTCTTTACCGAGGTTGTAAAGCTGCCGGAGATACTGTGGAAGAAACGCAGGACAACGCAGAGTAATAACACGAATGGAAAATCACGTCAAAAAATCCAAATTCAATCACTAGCGAAAAAATTTCCAATGTACTACATCGAGGCAGGAATCATTGCATTAAATTTATATCAATTTCATGTGTGCCGCAAAGTTCTGTAAAGGTCTGTTGAGCAATTATCATTCTTAATTTTTTATTATATTAATTTAACAGGGCAGTAATTAGTAAAAAAAAAATTCAATTCACAAACAAGATGCCACAACAAAAATACAGCCACGTTTGAGTGTCTACTTTTATATAAGATAAACTTGAGATTTTTAAACTTAAAAACTAGATTCACTTTCATGAGCAAAGTTTCAACAGTAATACCTGCTCCAAATTGGACTGAAACAGATATCTATCATCTCCAGAGGCCAGCTCTGTCTCAAACAATAAGCCATCTTTGCTGCCTATAAGGATTGGCCCTGTCACACTGTCTAGCGTGTTACGGCGATTCCATCCTACAGCTGAAACCACGTTGCCTTTCATCTTGGATGCTTGTCTAACCTTCTTAGAGTTCTTTGACAAATATAGTACTTCAGTAGAGTGCTCCATGCTGATCAGTAAATGCTGACCTGTTTAAGGAAACATTACCTGTAGTAAAAAAAATTTACTGCAGGCGACTGCCCTATATAAAATTGGCTGCATATTACAGCATTACGTTTAATGTACAACCGGCCTATATAAAATTGACTGCATATTACAGCATTACGTTTAATGTACTGTAGTTATATATGACATTCCACTACATATACGATGCAACACATCCACAAGGTTGTTATATATTCATTCAAATGCTATCCAGTCAGATTAGAATAAAACCTCACATGTTAGGTAGGATTACTTTGTTTATGGATGTCGCAGCATTTTACTAACTGGGAATCGACACCAGATTCCACATGCTTATGCAATTAACAAGTGCCGCAGAGCGACAGCGCCAGTGGAAAAAATACACAGGGGCTCGGGGCGATTTAGCCCCCGAAATGCC